AAGCAAATCTGGGGTTTAAGAGCTGTTTTAGGGTGAGATTGGGGGCTGGCTAGGCAAGGAAGCCAAAACCTTGCATGTCATTTCAGAGTGCCCAGGGGTGCAGGAGAAATCACCCGTTCCCACTGCCAGAACCTCAGACTCATGGATCTGATTATGAGCATTTTCCGTAAATGAGCTTGGCGTTAGCAGACTGGGAAAGAGGTGTATGGCTTGCGGGTGAAGGATCAGCTTTGCATGCAGAAGGTCCCTGGGCTGACCCCCTGGCATCTCTGGGGCAGGAGAGATTTGGAAAGACTCTTCTCTCTCTGAGACCTTGGAGAGCCCCTGGCATAAGCTGGAGACCGGGGCTCCCCGGACTGACTGGAGAGGAGGTACCCTTGTATATCTGTAGAAGAACTGCCTCTCAGTACCTCCTTCTTTCCGCCTATCATGTCTCTGTCCCTCTTGGGTCTGCCCTCCCCCCCCTTGTCCCTCCTCTTCCTCTTTTCCCTCCTCCTCTTCCTCTCCTTTTTTGTTTCTCCTCCTTGCCGGTCACGCATGCCTCTTGCTGAGTTGCACCCAGATGCTTTGCTGCACGTGTTCCGTGGCCTGTGTGCACCGCCTGCTTCCTCGCACAGGTCTTCCCCTCTCTTTGGAACCCAGTTTTGTGTTATTTTGGATGCCACAACCCTGGCAACATCATGGGGGTAAGAACAGTGAACACAGAGGAAGCTGCCTTCTCCTGAATCAGACCCCCCCCCCTTGGTCCAGCCAGGTCAGTCGTCTACTCAGACTGGCAGCCATTCTCCGGGGTCCCAGGCAGAGGCCTTTCCGTCATGTACTGCTTGGGCCTTTTGCACTGGAGATGCTGCCGGGGCCTGAAACGGGGGTCTTCTGCAAACCACTGAGCCACAGCCCCTCCCCGATTTACGTTATCAATAATCTCGGCCCTCAGCAGATCTGAGTTTCTTTTGTATTTTGATGATAATGTCAAATTGCCTTTTTAAAAACGTTTCAGCAACCCTGGGCAGGGTGGCATACATGTTAGGGACATCATGCCAGATTTCCGGTTTGTTTAACCCTCGCTCTCCGCAGTGAGGTGTGAAGGAAACAAGCCATGCGGCAGCCAGCGTGCCCGTGTTCTTTCTCCTGCGTGGTGGCATGGAGGGAAGGCAGAATTTTAATTGTAAAAAAATGGAGAGAACAATCAGGCCCGACTTTACAAATGTGGCAAAATAAACTATGGGAGGGAAGGCAGTGTGATGGCACCTGCCCTCCTGGCCCCCTACCTGCCACAAAAGGGGAGACAGCGCAGGAAGTTGGGAAAGGACAGTGCCTGCCCTGGCAATTGTCCTGGCAGTCAGACCAGCTGCCACAGGTGGGTGAGAGGGGCATGACTAGGCTGATTGCCACCCCTCCTAGATGATTGCCCAAGGCAGGGGTCCCCCACCTTTTTCAGCCTGTGGGCTCCTTTGGAATTCTGACACAGTGCGGTGGGTGCAGCCACAAAATGGCTGCCACAGGAGGTGAAGCCAGTCACAAAATGGCCACCGCAGCTTACTTTCAGTCACACAGTGAAGATTCTTGTGCTGCAGGGGCAGCTGCTGCCAAAGCAACATCATTAAGAATCTCCAGTGGCCAATCAGAAACCTCACTGGGCCAAAGTCCCACCTCGCCTTGTGCACTTTGTAAAAACACTTGGCAGTAGGGTTGCCAGGCATGATTGTTCCGCCAGCGGGGGGATTGGGGGGGGTCTGGGGGAGGTGGCGATGTCCCTGACACAATGACAACATGTGGAAGTGACGCCATCGTGTCAGCGACGACACTCTGGGTTTTGGGCAGATTCTATGGTTAAAATTGGACTCAAACCATAGAGTTTTGCCCCAAAAACAGAGTGTTGTTGTGTGCCGCCACTGATGCAATGACATCACTTTTGTGTGATGTCATCGTGTTGGGGATGTCGCCATGCGACGTTGCTGTATGGGGGGGGCTTTCCCCACCAGCCATCTGGCTGGCAGCGGAAGTCGGGGGATCCCTCACCTGGACCAGGGGCCTGGGAACCCTACTTGGTGGGCATCAGGAAAGGAGTAGGTGGATGCCATGACACCCATAGGCACCACCACATTGGGGGCTTCTGGCCTCGGGCCACCTAGCAAATGGGCCAGCTCTGCCCCAATTCCTCTTGAATTCTGGTTTAACTAGGAGAATTTCTAAGCTTAATTCTAGAACAGGGTAATGCGCAGAGTACTATGGCTTTCAGTTCCTGTATATCATTATGCTCCTCCTCTCTGTTACAAATTCACACCTGTGGAATGACAAAACATCGTTCCCCAAAGCAGCCAGCTGGTGGTGCGACCGTACGCACAATCGCACCAGGGCCCTTTTCTGATGGGGTTTTGTTGATGTGCCCCATGCGGTCCCACACATTTCTAAAACCCGACACAAAAAAAGAATCTTTTCTGCCAGCTGTGCGTACTATCATTGCCAGACTGCTTTGGGCGGGTGGGGAGCAGTGTTTTATAAGTGCACATCATTTGTGTCAGGGAGGGGGAGAGACACAAATGAATTGAAAGAGCTGTGGGAACTCATGCATGGAGAGCGCAACTGTACACCATTCAGAGTTCTTTAAAAAGAACCGAACAGAATAACAGAGGATTCCCAGGGCATCTACTGCTTTGCAGAAACCAAGCCGGGTAATTTAGACCACCAAAATCCACTGAGAAATACAGATTAAAAAAACGTTTTGAATGCCTCCCAGATAGACAGATGAGTTGTGCCACAGCCCTGCTGAGCTTTAAGAGTCAAGATGGTTTTATTTCAGAAGGCTTTGAGGATGAGCTGCTGTCCTTCGGTTGGGCTGTTTCTCCTGTTCTCTTTCCTTTTCACTAATGGGGTTTTTTTTTGGTCCAATTTTTGTGCTTTTGTTCTTTTAACTAGTTTCCTAGGATGGCTGGTTACTAGAATATTGTGGATGCATTTTTGGTGTTACTGTTTGGGCACTTCCCCAGTCGGAAAAGCAGCTAATAAATACCTTAGTTGTCTAAAATATTGTGGTAATCATACTTAGCATTAAGTGCATAGAGTACCTCTGGCACTTTCTCAACTGTACTTGTAAGTCCTGTGGAAGATAGATCGATATTCTCATTGATGTATTGCATAATAGTTGGCCTAAGACAACCTGTGGAATGACAAAACATCATCCCCCAAAGCAGGCAGCCTGTGGTGCGACCATAATCCACTGAGAAATACAGTGAGCTCATGTCAGAACTGAGATTCGAACCATGGACCTCAGCTCTGGCCTGTAAGTTTGTACATCCATGCAACTAAGGAGCAATTATTTTCTGGGCTGTCCCTTTTACGTGCTGCATGTCCGTTTTTGTAACACTTTATGCAACCCCCCCCCCCACACACACACACAAAGAACAGCTCTCTGCAGATTGAAAACAAGCATCCCAGGGAGATGCTGAAGCCTAGATTTCAACATTCTTATCAGCCGACTGCCACTTGCAGTCTGAAATGGGTACTGCCCTGGACAAGCATTATCACGAGCATCACCAACCTCAGCTCTAGAAATTTCTGGAGATTTGGGGGTGGAGCTTGGGGACGGCTGGGTTTTGAAAGGGGAGACCACAGCTGGGTATATAATGCCAGAGAGTCTCTCCTCCAAAGCTGCCATTTTCTCCAAGGGAACTGATCTATGTCCTCTGTAGGTGAGCTGTAATTCCAGGAGATCTCCAGACACCCCCCTGGGGACTGCTTAGGACAAGGGTTATAACTGTACACAGGGCTATTTTTGGGCAGGAACGCACAGGAATGGAGTTCCGGCTGGCTCCCAAGTTGGCTACGCCCAGCAGGAACTCATTAGCATAATAAGCCACACCCAACAGCAGAAACTCATTAGGATTGGCTAGATTAGGGGTGTGTGGCCTAACATGCAAAGGTGTTCCTGCTATAAAAAAGCCCTGGGTTTTGACAACAAACAAGGTCAACAGAATAACAAGCAAAAGGTGGGTGTGGCTGGATAACCACACTTCTGGTAACATGGGGGTGCGGCCTAATGTGCTAATGAGTTTCTGCTGTTGGGTGTGGCCTATTATGCTAATGAGTTCCTGCTGGGCTTTTTCTACAAAAAGAGCCCTGACTGTACATATAAACCAGTGTAGTCACAATCCTTTAACCACTGCACGCGTTGTTTGAAATTGTGCCAGATTTCTGTGTGGCCCTGGCTTCGGGTGTCCTGATTAACCAAAAACAATGACAGCTTCATTATAAAATGGTTTATTTTGGAACGGAGCACCATAATACTCTCAAGATGGGTGGGCCATGTTAGCCTGTCTGTAGCAGGAGAAAAGAGCAAGAGTCCAGGAGCACCTTCAAGACCAACAATATTTGTGGCAGGGGAGGAGCTTTCCTGAGTCACTGCTCACTTCTTCAGATAGATCAAGATGGGGGAGCCGTGTTAGCCTGTCTGTAGCAGGAGAAAAGAGCAAGAGTCCAGGAGCACCTTCAAGACTAACACAATCAGTGGCAGGGTAGGAGCTTTCGTGAGTCACTGCTCACTTCTTCAATCTGAGTGGGTCACTGCTCACTTCTTCAGTCTGAAGAAGGGAGCAGTCAGTGACTCACAATAGCTACTACCAGTGTTCCCTCTAAGCTGAGTTAATGTGAGCTAGCTCACAGTTTTTTAGCCTCCGGCTCACACATTTTTGCCTTCACTCAGGAAGGAGGGCTCCAGAGCAAACTAATTGATGCAGCAGCCAAATCGCTGGCTCACAACTTTAATGCCGGTAGCTCACAAAGTAGAATTTTTGCTCACAAGACCCTACAGCTTAGAGGGAACATTGGCTACTACCCTGCCACAAACTTTGTTAGTCTTCCAGGTGCTACTCTTTTCTAATAAAACTCTTCAGTTATTAATGTTTTTAAAAAACTTCATTTTGACTTTTTGGCCCACCCACCCCCTCTCTCTTTCACCCCTCCTAATGATTCTGTGCCCTTTCCTCTCCCTGCTCCCAACACAGTGCAGTTTGAGACCCCTGAGTGGGAACGGACGTCCTCGATTTCCTCCTCTTCGGCGCTCGTGGAGCACTGGCACCAGCCAAAACACCTGACGGGCAGTTCCAAGTTTGGTCTCTCCCAGAGTCCAGAAGGCAGCCCCCCTGCAGCAGAGCGGGTAGACCCCTCGCTACCACTGGAGAAGCAGGCGTAAGTGGGGGGGGGGCACACAGTGCGCCCGGTGTTGGGTGTAAATCCCTGAGGCTTGCATGCATTTCAAAAACTTTATTCCGTAAGACAAGTGAGAGCCGGTAAACACTGTTGCACCTCAGCTTGGGAGGCTTGGGTTCTGGCCTTCCACTTAGCCCTGGAGCACAAGTAACTTTGGGGCAGTCATCCTCTCTTTTCTTTCCCCATCTCCTTTCCAATATTTTTGTGGGGATGAAACCAGAGGAGCAGAGAGAACCCCATTTGTCACCTTGAGCAAGATCTGTCTGGCACAGCTGTATCCTACTGATAAGGTTTACAAAGCATTTTGAGAGATAATTTTCTCAAGGGGACAGTAAAACCATGGTATTGTTATAAATATGATGTCATACATTCCGGCTATCGCTGTTTACTAGGATAGGCCCTGATTTTCTGCTACGCTTCCCGTTTTTTGTTCTCTGAGGCCAAACACAGCAAGATGATTCAGATTGGGACCCCAGCACAAGGAGGCGAAGGGTTTCAGCTGCCCCTCCCTTCCCCACGTGATACTTTCCTGACCAAAACTGGCTTTGGAGTAACACACTTTGCTCCTGTCATGGCCTTGGTTTTGGTCTGTGTCAGGTCCCCAGGTGCTTGTGAAATGAATTCCCAGCAGCCTCAAGGTCTGAATATCGGGTCAGGGGAGGCAGCTTTGAGAAAGACAGGAGCACTCCGTCTATAAACTTCAGCTGTTTAATGGGTCTCTCTCGTAGGACCAGCAGCAAACATCTATTTAAACATCACTGTAACCACAAAAGAAAACTTCCCCCTTTGGAAGACTTTCAAGCAAGGAGAAGCGGGTGTATAATTCTAGAAACTCCCGTTGGGGTTGTTTGTGTAAAAAGGATATAAATTGACTGGTAGTTATTAGAATTGTATACACTGATTATTATTACTGTTGATATTGCATGTAATGAATATATACCTGTTTTAGAATATTATAAATAACACACAATGCACTATAAGATGGAACAAGCAGAACACATTAACTTATAAAAGGTTTTTTGCAGTGCATATTTGTGTTGTTTGACTCTTCTAACACTCCCGCTCGAGTTTGTACAGCCTCCAGGTGATGGCTGGAGATCTCCTACGATTACAACTGATCTCCAAGCGAAAGAGATCAGTTCCCCTGGAGAAAATGACTGCATTGGAAGGTGGACTGTGTGGCATTCTACCCCATTGAAGTCCCTCCCCTCCCCAAACCCCTCCCTCCTCAGGCTCCACCCCCCAAATCTCCAGGTATTTCCCAACCCAGAGCTGACAACCCTACTCTTCACAGTTCAGTCTTTCCCCTCATCTTTAGAGCTTAGATTTCTTATGAAGGAAGACAACCTCTTGCCTCTGTGAAAATGTTCGTGTGCACAAGTATGAAGATACCACGTTGTACAACTGGCCATTTGCTCACAGTGGTGGATTTCCTAACCTTACCGGGTAACCGGATTGAAAACAAATCAGCCAGTATCATCATGCCCCTGTATAAATCAATGGTGCGACCTCATTTGGAATACTGTGTACAGTTCTGGTCACACCACACCTCAAAAAGGATATTATAGCGTTGGAAAAAGTGCAGAAATGGGTTGGAACACTTTCCCTATGAAGAAAGGTTAAAGCACTTGGGGCTCGTTAGCTTGGAGAAATGACGGCTGAGGGGGTGACATGATCGAGGTTTATAAGATTATGCATGGGATAGAGCAGGTAGAGAAAGAGGTACTTTTCTCCCTTTCTCACAATACAAAAACTCGTGGGCACTCAGTGAAATTGCTGAGCAGTCGGGTTGGAACAGATAAAAGGAAGTACTTCTTTACCCAAAGTGTGATTAACACATGGAATTCATTGCCACAGGAAGTGGCGGCGGCTACAAGCATGGACAGCTTCAAGAGGGAATTGGATAAACGTATGGAGCAGAGGTCCATCAGTGGCTATTAGCCACAAGGTATAGATAGGAACTCTCGGGCTGGGGCAAGTGATGCTCTGTATTCTTGGTGCTTGGGCGGGGGGGAGCAACAGTGGGGGGGTTTCTAGTGTCCTGGCCCCACTGCTGTACCTCCTGATGGCACCTGGTATTTTTGGCCACTGTGTGACAGAGTATGGACTGGATGGGCCATTAGCCTGATCCAACATTGGCTTCTCTTATGTTCTTATGTAACCTTGTTTTTCTGCTTTAAGTTAAACCCGCCTTTCACCTTTAAGCCTCTACCACAGAGGAAGAGAACAACAGAGCATTCAGTGAAGTGTGTGGATTAGAATCACAGAGGTCCAGGTTCAAATTCCCACCCTGCTATGAAGCTTGCTGGGTGACCTTGGGTCACTCACTCTTTCTCTCATCCCGCCCGCTCTGCCTCACAGGGTTGTTGTGAGAAAAAACAGGATGGAGGTAGAATCCTGATCTCCTGGGAGGAAGGATTTAAGACTTATAATTCAAACCGCTGGCTTTTTAATTAAAAAAAAATAGACACCAAGATACATTTCAAGATAAGGATAAAATGGAACAATGCCATTATTACGAATGCTGTTATATTAATTTCATTGCATCCTTAATGTTTCTAAATGGTGTAGCTATAGCAGAAGAGATGCCCCTGCTGGGAAGGAGTTTATAGTCTAGTTTTCGGATCTGACTGGTTTCCTCCAGCTGGTTGTGGAAGGAACAGTTCTTTTACACCAAGGGTGGGGAGAGAGGAGGGGAAAGCGTGTCTTCTCTGCAAGCAGACATCAAATGCTTTTAGCCTTCAAACAGTAAAGGCTTCCCGCCTCCGTTAAAACCAGGCTTTGTTCCAAAGATCTCAATTTATACCACAGAACGAGGACAGAGCATTTCATGGGGTGTCCTTTGCGTGAGGCAAACAATGCAAACGGATCACGATGGGTGGACCGTGCTAGTCTGATTGTAGCAGGAGTCCAGGAGCACCTTAAAGACTAACCAAATTTGTGGCAGGGTAGGAGCTTTCATTAGTCAGTGACTCATGAAGGCTCACACCCTGCCAAAAACGTTGTGAGTCTTGAAGGTGCTTCTGGACTCCTGCTCTTTTCTAATGTGGAGAGAAACGATTGCGGGTTGCCTGTTGCAGGCGCGTCTCATTGTGCCGAGGGGGGAGTTGCAAATCATTTCCCGTTCCTGTTTAATTAAAATGCCTGGCTACAGATGCGCTTGGTTTTGTTTTCTGCTAACGCGACGGGATGCCTGGTGGAAGGCCTTGCAAGTCCTTTCAGAGATCTGCACTGTGCTTGGCACCCCCATAGAGACGCTTGCATTCGCCCATGCCGAGGCCCTCCCAGCCCTGCTGCTTGTTCCCCCAACTTCCCTGAGGTACAGTGATTGGGTGACAGGGCCTTCTCCGCAGTGGCACAAAGTAGGGTTGCCAACTCAGGGTTGGGAAATTCCCCGAGATTTGGGGGGTGGAACCTGAGGAGGGAGCTCAGTTGGGGTATAATGCCATAAAATTCACCCTTCAACGTAGCCATTTTCTCCAGGGGAATTGCTCTCTGTCATCTGGAGATCAGTTGTAAATCTGGGAAATCTCCAGGCCCCACCTGGAGAATGGCAACCCTAATGCCAAGGCAGTCAGCCTTCCTCCCCAAGGAGGTATTCTGGGCCTCTTCATTAGGAGAGCTGCGAGGTGTAGCAGTTGGAACCTCAGAAGAGGGCTGGGGAGGAATGAGGTCGGGATCTTCACTTTTGCCCTGGAGCCCGATAGGTGGTCTTGGGCTAATTATCCTCTGTCGACCTGACCTGCCTTGCAGAGTGGTTGTAAGGATGTAGGCCGATATATGCCACAATGAGCTCCTTGGAGGAAGATCAGGATTAAAATGTGAAGGTTTTCAGAGGCTGGGAGCAGACCATTTTCTTTCAGAGGGCTTTAGAAATAGAGTCGCCAACTCTGAGTTGGGAAGTTCCTGGAGATTTAGGGGGTGGAGCTTGGGGAAGGCAAGGTTTGGGGAAGTGAGGGGCCTCAGCAGGGTATGGTGTCACAGAGTTCACTCTCCAAGGCAGCCATTTTCTCCAGGGGAATTGGTCTCTGGTGATCAGTTGTAATTTGGAGAGGTCCAATGGAGGGGAGTGTGCCCAATATTTTTGCAAAAACCAGCTGGAAACCATAACCCAGATTAGTGTCTGAAGCAATCTGTGATGTAGCATTGGTGCAGGGACCCTGACCCTGACCTGGATGGCCCAGGCTAGCCCAATCTCATCAGCTCTCGAAAGCTAAGGAAGGTCACTCCTGGTTAGTCCTCAGATGGGACGCCACCAAGGAAGTCCCGGGTTGCTATGCAGAGAATGGCAAACCAGCTCTGAATGTCTCTTGCCCTGAAAACCTTCTGGGGGTCACCATAAGTCGCCTGTAGGGTTGCCAAGCATCCAGCTGGGGTTGGAAGCGTGCACACGCTGCGGTGACATCACCCGGAAGTGACGTCATCGCACTGGGCATGCCGTCGAGGGACGCTCTAGCGTCCAGCTTTAAAACTCTATGGTATCATAGAGTTTTAATGCTGAACGCTAGAGTGTCCCCCGATGACGGGCCCAGTGCGGTGACATCACCTCCGGGTGACATCATCGTGCTGGGCATGTCGGCCCAATTCTAGCACTTTGGGGGCGGGATTTCCCCCGGTGGACAGATCTGGGCTGGTGGGTTGGGGGCCTCTAGGGCAGGCAAACCCCGCCCCCCCCTCCAGGGGACCTGGCAGCCCTAGTTGCCTGCGACTTCACAACACTTTTCTGCAAAACCCCCATTGTGTGCCCCAGAGTCCTGAGGCTCCTCTAAAGTGGCTCTTTGGATCTGAGCCATTGTGCATAGAACAAGCCTTCTCTTTCAGGGGAGGTTTTAGAGAGATGTTTGAGAATGTTGTGGGCTTTATTGATGATTTAATGCATGTGTTTTGCTGCTGTATTTACGGGAAATGGTTGATATTTTAATTATTTTTCAGTCCTTGTAATATTTTCTCGTTAGCCACGGTATTGACCAAAGTATCAGGAAGGTTTGATGCCAATAAATCATCATTCTGAAGTTGCAGAAAAACATCAGCCGATGGACATGGAGGGAGGAGCTCAAACCAGCTATCAATTTTACCGCGTTGTATTATTACAAGCCTTGTTTTATGACTGTTTTGCATTGATTTTCCCTTTAGTTCAATTTTTTCCCAATCTGCCAGCTGCCTTGAGCATGCCAGTAGAAAGCTGGGATGGAAACGCCATAAAAGAATGCCTGTTTATTGTTATATGCTATTTTCCCAGGCAAACACTTGTAAAGCATATTACAGCTATTAAAATGCAGGTCTGGCTAGTTTGATTTTTGTGTACTTTTGTCTCCATTGCAGTCGCTAGTGACCCTCTGGTTCCCTTTCCAGTCTCTCTGGCCTTGCATGTACGCAGGGTTGAGCTTGGTTAATCTTGGGGTTGCCGCTGGAGTCAAGCTTCATTCTCACATCTGTTTGTTAGCTCTTGCATTTGTGTGCCAATTTGCTGCCGTTCATTGATCTTATGCCTTTATGCATCTTGGCTCTGACTGGCCCTTCCTGATGGCTGTCCCCTGCCATCTTCCTGTAGAAAGGAAAGGAAATTGTTTCACTGAAGACGTTCTGTTTCACTGTATCTGAGGAAGCGTGCTTACACACGAAAGCTTATGCCTTGAATAAGATATTGGCCCCGGTCACATGAGCAGAAAAATCCGCACTAGAAGGGAGGCATTTTAGAGGCGGAGTTAAAAGAAGTGCGGGAGCGTGATCTTACGGTCTCCCGCGGCTCTGTCCTCAGGCCGTCGGCAGCCGATCACGCCAGGGAGGCAACAGTGTAGTCCCAATGAGGCAACACGGCAGTACTGCATGGGTCGCGGACAGCTGCTGGATGCCACGGGCTACCGACGCGTCTCCGATCAGACGCTCGCCCATGCCATGCATTTACCTTTTCCCCAGTGCCTTTTAAATCCGCTTCTTCGGGCTGACGGTACGGGTTGGAGACGGTTGCGCTACGCTTCCCAGATGTTGTGGTATGATCGCGCCCGTTTGATGGGCCCTCTTTCGTGAGGCAAATCCTCCGTATGACCATTGTTGGTCTTTAAGGTGCCTGACTGGACTCAAACTTTGTTCTGCTCCTTCACACCAACATGGCTACCCACCTGAATCTATCTTTGGAGGAAAGATGGAGTAAAATCATATTCCATAGATCACACTGAATTAGAATCCCAGCTTTGCAGGGGCACTGAGTTCCACAGGCCGATTGATGACTGTATCTAGAAGAGTTTCCCTGAGATGTCTATAATTCCCTCCCCCCTCATAACAGTGCCCTGAGGTAGGTTCAGGTGAGAGAGAGTGGCCTTCATGTCTGAGTACGTATTTGAACCCGGGCCTCTCCACTCTTTAATCGCCCCCTGTATCCATGAGCTGGCCTTCGATCCAGCAATACACTATATTTTACATCTTCCCCTGTTCACTTAGAGACAGGTGCAGGATCTGAGCTGTCCTTCTATCTTCCAGTCAGCGATTGTGTCATAAATGTGCTTATCTCACTGTGCCTGTCAATATTCATCACAAGATTCATCCGTACATGCTTTGGGGTCTTCTTGAACACAAGTGTGGGTGCTGGTTAAACCAGGGTTTGAATCTGAAACAGAGAAGGGCGACCAAACCGTGAGCCATGCAGTTTAATTCCAGAGGCCAGTAGAGATCCCTCTTTGTTGACAGAGCCTTGCTCCATCAATGCATTTCTGAGCAGGGCCTTCTGTAGGCTGGTGCCACCCTGCAAATGGGCAAGATCAACAACTTGCCCGTACCCGTGCCTTCTCTGTGGTGACCCCCACCTCCTGAATGGCCTGGCCTGCTGTTGAGGGTAGGAAGGCTTCCATGCACCTGGAGTTTGGCAGTACTATGTAAAACAGAATTGTTCAAGAGGGCATGTTTAGAAAGGAAACAGGGCTGCATCGTAACAGACCAGTCCACAAAAAATGCACTGCTTCTACTAATCTTGCACCATGTTCTGCATGTCATGTCTAATATTTACGCTTTGTTCAGAAGACAGCTCCGTTTCAAAGGTCTGCCATCCCCCTCATCCTATTACACTGCTGTATGTTGCCACGGCTCTCATCTGATAAATCAAATCTGCACCCAGTGACTCTGTCTGTCTGCTCCCCAACCAGGTGGTTTCATGGCACGATCAGCCGAGCAGAAGCCGAATCCCTCTTGACTCTCTGCAAAGAAGGCAGCTACCTGGTACGGAACAGCGAGACCAGCCGGAATGACTACTCCCTGTCGCTCAGGTGAGTGGGTGCAGATTCCCCCCTCCCCCCCAGTCTGTCCTCAGTTTGGTGTAGTGGTTAAGAGCGGCGGCTCTAATCTGGAGAACCGGGTTTGATTCCCCACTCCTCCACATACAGCTAGCTGGGTGACCTTGGGTCAGTCACAGTTATCTGAGAGCTGTTCTCTCAAGAGCAGTCCTTGAAAGAGTTCTCTGAGCCCCACTTACCTCACAGAGATTGTAAGCCGCTCTGAGACTCCAAGTGAAGGGCAGGGTATAAATCCAATCTCCTCCTCCTCCTCCTCCTCCTCCTCCTCCTCCTCCTCCTCCT